CTCTCCTCTTTCTTGGCACCAAAATTTTGCTTGGCAAGGAACTCTCGATTCTCTTGTTTTTATATTTTCATTTGGTTCTTCATTGTTTTTTTTCTTTTGAGCTGTTTGTAAATTGTTTAGGGGAATGAAAGACTCTGTATAAATTAAGATGAATCAGTCTGACTCAGGGAGTTGTGCTGAGTTTCTTCTCCTTCCTCTGAGATAAAAATAAGAACATCTTCTAAACGCACACCTGTAACCCTTCATGTCCCTTGACACTCTCCCGATCACTGGGTTCCCAGGGTCCTCTGGGATGCCCATTTGTCTCTGAATCTCTGTAGCTTAAACTCTGCCCCCAATATAATACCAGGACAGGAACCATTAAAATCTCATGGAAGAGTTCTTACAATCTGGGTTTTATTCAATGAAATAAACACTTAATTACAAACATCTGTTTTAGCCTAAATTCTAATTACTTAATCTAGCCATCTGTAATTTTAATGATTTCCCATGATTTCGTTCCTTGCAGCATGATTAATGGGAATGGCATGTGAAACTGGTGGGTATGTGTCTCCATTCACGATGCTCCTTCCTCTGCTTGCAGGGTCTCTGGCAAGAAGCACATCTGTGGCTTGCTGTCAGCCACCTGGTGGGTACAGCCTGGGTGGGCAGCACTGAGCTTCCTTTTACGAGTACCCCTCGGTTCAGCCGCTCCCTCTCTGCACCCTTAGAATTGGACCCTCCTTCCAGCAAGCCCCCCTGGAATACTGCTGGCCCGAATACTGCCAGAAGGTGAGGAAGAGGGGGAGACTCACACGTAAGTCAGGAGGAAAAGAAAAAGGATAGAAGAAATTTCGAGAGTGAAGAAGGAACATCGAGTGTGGGAGAGAAAAAGAAAGATAAAGAATGGAGGCCGTGGAAGGAGGGGAAGGTGGAAAGAGAAGAGTGATGTAAGGAGATGAGAGACTAGAACTGAGAGGGAGAGAGGAGGGGAGAGGAGGCAGGGAGAGAGAGGGAAGGCGAGCAGGTCCCCCCTGAGCTGGCTGCAGCCTTTCTAGAGAGCTGGACGGGGAGACAAACCCAGGCTGTGCTTTTCTTCAGCTCCCGAGCAAATGAAAGAGCTGGGCTGTTTGTGCTGGGAATTTCAGCCCCCAAAGAGACAGGAAGAGGCACCACTTTTCAAAAGGTAGTTTCTAAAGTGAGAAGCCTTGAGGAAGATTTGTTCCGTTTGAAGCTGCGAGCTTGCTTTTTGCATTCGAGGTGAGGAGTTTCCATAACACCTTCCCTTCCCCCTCGGAGCCACAGAGACTGTGAATGGAAGATTCTCCAGCACCGGAAGGCAGATTTAGGCTCCGGTCCAGGCTGTGTTGGAGCACCAGCCTCTGGAGACCCTCAGCACGCCACCTAGCTCTTCTGGGCCTCAGTTTCCTCATTTGTCAAAAAGGGGTGTGTGACCACTCTGATTTGTCATTAGGATGCCATGAGGAGGAGAAAGAGGTCAAGGTGGGATAATTTCTTGGGATGTGCTACAGTATTCCTCAGCTCTGTGCCGAGGTGAGAGGAAAGGGAGTGAGTGCCGTGGCCTCCTAAGCTAGAAGGAACATGCATCCCCATCTCACTGGCAGGAAAACCAAGGGGCTCAACTAAGAGAGAGCTGACTGAAGCAGAACCAGAATCTGTGACTCAGGACAGGTTGTCCCATCCCCGTGACCAGTTCTAAGTCTTGCACACTCTCCTGATGTAGCCTCAGCGGGCGTGGCACAGCCTTTTACTCTGGTCTCCACCCCCAGCACAGAAGGAGCCTTTAGGAACACTCCTGCTCCCAGATGCCCCTCAAACATTCTTGGGGAGAGTAAGATGCTGAGGCCTTGGGAGGTCTGAGACTGGATGGATAGGGAAGGAGAAGAAGGAGGTCAGGGTTTTGTATCATTTAAACTGCCCGGGCTGCTTCCACGTGACAGAGCACCCTCTCCAGGTCAAGGAGCAATCCAGCGTCTGGCCCTGCTCCGCCCTGGATGCCTTCACACTCTGCTCAGCGTCCCACACACAGTGCATGAGCAGCAGCGAGGTATCTGCTTCCCCCTCCTCTAGAAAGCCTTCCCTGACCTCTCCAGGCAGAACTGAGGGGCTTCCCTGGGCTTCCACAGCGGCAGCAGACCTCTCCGGACCACTTTCCTGGAGGTGGAGGCCGGTCTGGTTCGCACACTGTGGACCCTAAAGGACAGCAACTTGGGCTCTTCTCTGCAATGCATTGCACAATGGGCCCCAAGCCTTCACCCTGCTCTGTACTCAGGCCCTTTGCCACGTGACTTTGCATTTTTCCCCTCTACAAGGGTAGAGTACATTTCCTCATTCCCTGACTTTGAGTTTGTGTGGGCGGCTATCTTTGGCCAACAAAATGAGGTGGAAGTCACAGTGTGCCCATTCTGGGAGCCTAGACTAAGAGATCTGGTGTGTTTCCACTTGTGTTGCTGCCCTTCTGCAACCACCATGACTATGCCAGGCTAGCCTGCTGGACCAGGGGAAGGATGAGGGGTACGTGGAGCAGAGCTGCCCCAGCCTAGATCAGCTGACCCCTACTCATCAAGTGAACTCAGCTGGGCAGCTCTGCTGATCCAGCTGAGCCAGCTTAGATGAGGTGGTCCCTAGCTGACCTCAGACGCATGAGGTACATAAATGTTTATTGTTGCATGCTAGTGAGATTTGGGGGTTGGTTGTTACACAGCATTTCTGTTGTTAAAGCTACCTGATAGATTTACTAATGCCTATCCCAGGGTCTGGCACATGGAAGGTTAAATAAACTCATTTAATGCATAACTGTGCCTTGAAGATAGAATCATATCCCATTTTATCTTCACAGCCAACTTCTAAGATGGCCAAGCATAACTAGCCCAAAATTATAGATAAAGAATCTGAAGCTCAGAAGGGTTACATAGCCACGTCAGATCACACAGCAAGAAAATGGCAAGGCCAGCATTTGAATCCAGGCCCTGTGCCTCGAAGGCCAGCACTCTTTTCAGCACACATGAGAGTGCCCAGAGCCGGCCCCACAGCCATGTGAGAGGCGCTGCCTGGCCTTTGTGTCGGGTCCTTACAGGCCATCCCACCAGGTACCAAGGGACCTCATCTGCCTGCTTGTGGTCACTGTGACCAGAGAGAAATTAGAAATGTGGCACATGGACCTTTTACTTCACCAGGTCAGACACTAAATGTGGAATGGTTTGGGTTGGAGCAGAGGTGGAAGGTTTTGTTTCCTTTCCTAATATTGTGCCATGAGCCTTTCAAGTCCGTCAGCACCTCACTAGGATACTGGAGTGATGATGGCAAGAACCGCAGACAAGACCAGGGGACAGGGCTTGTATTCCTGCCGGGAGGAATGGGCCTGGTCCTACCCCTGACACTGCACTTGAGGACGTCTTCACCATCCCTTTAGTCATCTCACAGGGGTGAGGACCCCTTTCCTTCAGCTGTTTCACCCCCACCAAATCCTTCCTATGGATTCATCCCTCTTTCAGGTCTAAAATACCTTGTTGACACTTTCTAGGACCTTCCATGAAATCCAGTCCTCAAGCTCCCTTCTCCTATCCCGTTCCCCTGATCGAAGCCCCCTGAGCTTTGCCTGAGCTCTGACCCCTTAGCTACTTCTTCCTTCCTGAGCTTTCCACTAGGTGATACAATCACAAAGGCACGGGGTTTGGTGGAAGGTCACTTTGTCCATGCCCCTGCCGCTGGTTCACCACCTTGGCCAACTAGTAATTAGATGCCCATGTGTGCCAATGCCCAGAAACGTCCTTGCCTCTTGACAAGCCTTATCAAAGAGGTATCCCTCCTATTTTAAAAGCCCACCAGAGAATGTCCCATTCCAAGAGGGTACCCAATTCCATTGTTAACTCGTAGGCCTAATTCTTTTCCATTTCTTTCTATTTCTAACTCATTATTCCATCTGCCTCATTCATTCATTCACTCATTGATTTGACAGATACCCACTGACTACTTTAATTTTGCCAGGCCAATTTATAGTACAGTGTGGTGAGGGAATGATGTTCTAGAGAAAGGCAAAATGGCACAGTGGTTAAAGCTATGAACTGTAAAGCCATATGGCCTGGGTTCTGATCCTAGTTCCTCTGCTTACTAGCTGTGTGACCTTGAGCTGTTTACTTAACCTTTCTGGGCCTCAGTTCCATCATCTGTAAAGTGGAGCTACGGATACTAGTTACCTTAGAAAATTGTTGTGCGCATCACATGAGCTGCCTTATGGGGCTCTGAGAGCTTAAATGTAACGTGGCTAGGAGAGGCCCTAGAAAGCCAGGCAATCCCCATCTCCTAAGAACCTGCTTTTTAACAGATGGAAACAAGCAGATGTACTTGGCCTGCCCTACAGAGTAAGGACATCAAATCCAACGGAGAACACCAGGGAAATCTTTGCTTCCATCACACACATAAGGAGGAAGAACATGAGTGAGAGCACAGAGGAAGCCTGTCTGCATGAGCTCCTAGTCAGGGCATGGTCCAGGCGATGGGAAGAGCGCCGGACCAGGAGTCAGGAGCTCAGAATCTAGCTCCACTCTGCAAAAGGCTTGGTGTGTGCCCTTAAACAAGACCCCCACACACCACCCCCATTTCCAGCTTTGGCTTCAGTTTCTCTATCTGAAAAGTGAAGGAGCAGATCAGCCAAGAGGCCCCTCCAATGGTAGGATTCTTGGATCCTACACCCAGGCAGTTCTCAGCCATGGTGCTATTGGGAGTCTGGCCACAGGAGGCTTGCAGACGTCACTAAATGACAACTTGGTGCCTTCACCCAACCCTCTCTCTGCTGTCTCCCTGACAAGCCTGCTGTGTGCAGCTTGCTACCTCCCACACCTTTTCCCTTGTAACCTTCCCAGCACTCAACACACCTCCTTTTGAGCTGGGCCAGGAGAAGGCTGGGCTCCAGTAGGGTCGGTGCCCGAGAGGCTGGCTCACAGATGCGGGTGTGTGTGGAGGTGAAGGGGCACCAGGGAGGGGCTCTGGTGGGTACTTACTGCAGGCCCCGTGAAGGGCACATGGTCACAGTTCTCCTGCCAGGACTGGTTGAGGCTCTGGGCAAACTCTTGGAAGAAAGCATGTGACTGGTTGAAAATGGAAAATCCCAGGATGTTGACACGATCATCCACAAGGCTGTCCATTCTCTGGAGCGAGAACTCCTGGAAAGACCCAGCAGTCAGAAATAGAACAGAGTTAGGAAAGGAAGAAGTGGGGGGATAGAGTTTGCTGGAGCACGTCTGGGTATCTCCTTCTAGTCAAATGAACACTTACTGCCAGGCACTCTGCCATGTACTAAGGCTCCAGAGAGAAGTAAGAGATGTTCTTCTGAGAGCTCACAGTGTTGGTGGAGGAGAGAAAAAAGATCAGCAGAACGATCTCTAAGGAAGGCATGCTTAAGATGCACTGGATGGAGAGAGACAGAAACACTAATGTGTGTGGCGGAGGCAGGACTGTGTCCACAGAAGGTGTCACCCTCGAGCTGAGTCTTGAAGGATGCATAGGCGTTTTCTGGGTGGAAAATGTGGATGGACAAAGGCTATTCTAGACAGAAGTCACAGTGGATACAAAGGCATGGAGGAGAGAAAGCGTGTGGCCCTTTTAGTCAGCTGCCTGTGGTGTGCTTTGACGGAAGCATCACTTCTCCAAGTGTGATCCACAGAACACCGGCCACCAGACTCACCCAGGTATCTTTTAAAAAAATAACAATCTCTGAACCCCACCTAACACCGACTGAATCTGAATCTCTGGAGCGGAGGCCCAGGAGTCTGCATTTTCAGCAGATCCCAAGGTCTTATGCACACCAAAGTCTGGGAGTCCCTGGGTTAGCACGTAGCATGCACGGAGTGGGGAATGGTGGGAAATGAAGCTGGAGAGGTTGCCAGGGGCCTGGATGCCAGGCCGGGGAGCTTGTGCTTTATCCTGAGTGATGGGAGCTGATGGGACTGTCAGCAGAGGAGTGACAAAATCAAGGTAGCTTTCTAAGAATCTCAACCTGAAGGTCTGCAGGTAGGGTTGCGACTTCATTATTATTTTTTTATTCATTTGATAAATATTTAAGTGCCTATTATGTGCCAGACACAGGCACAGAAGATGTTCAAGGCACAGAAGGTATGAACAAGAGAGACAAATTTCCTGCTCTCGAGGAGCTTGTAGGTTAGTGGAAGAGACAGATTGTAAGTAACAAATAAATATAGAGAATTTCAGATATCTATGGGGGGTTAGAGTGGGGAGCTGCTACGTTGGGTGAGGCAGTCAGAGAAACCCCATCTGGGTCAGGGACATTTAGAAGCTCAAGGGAATTCTCCCAGGACCCATGGCCCTCATCCAAGCCCCTGGCCGGGGACAGGTGTTATCTCAACAAGCTCAAACCTGCAGATATGAGCCCCACTGAGGCCAGTTAGTGTCATAAGGAGAAGAATCGCCCTCCTCAGGCAGGGCTGAGCTCAGAGCCCTAGACCTCCAAGCCTACCTCACCTTGGCCTTACACAGGAAAACCAGGCAAGAGGTGTGGGCTATTTGGCTCTCCAATGCCTGCTCCTGGAATAATGCTTTCCAATGTGGGTCAGGTCACCTTTGTGCACTGAAGTCTCATCCATCACACGTTCATTCCAAGTGCCTCATGCACAGCTCCACACCACGTGGACACAGGGTAGTTACAGACCCAGGACTAAGCCATCAGCCACTCAGCCTGACATGACAGATGGCAGGTGCCTTGGGCTTACTTTCTGGCCAGGAAGAAACGTTGCTTTTCTTCAGGCGGTCTCCTTTTCTTAAGACTTAGCTCCTCCAGGCCTCTGGTGCGTCCCCTGCATCCTCACTCACATCTACAGCCACCGCCAAGGCTTCAGGCTGCAGGCCGAGCTCCGCTGCTCAGAGTCCAGCCTCATGAGCTGCAGCTTGCAGACTGAAGTCACAAAGATCTCTTTGGAGCCACCAACTCTTGACGGCATGGAGTCGGAGGAGAATTAAGTATATTTTGGATCCTGCCACATTCCTATTAGGGGAACCTGGACGTGCCAGAGAACATATTGATGCATAAGCTGATATTATCTCCCACCTCTCTAACAGGCAGCTGCCCATGTGCTGTGGGCTATCAGCAGGCACGAGGGGGCAGATGGCTAATGAGAAGAGATGCATCTGGCAAGGGGGAGGCGGCGGGGTTGCAGAGCCAGGCTGCCGTAAGGCAAGTGAGAGGCCTCATCAGCCATGGTTGGTGTGGGGGGAACCAGAAGATGTCCCCTCTCCCTTGGCTTCCTTGTCAATGTGGGCAGCTCATCAACCCTCCTCTATCCTCTCCCCACATGCACAGCCTGAGGGGAGGAGGCCCATTTCAAAGAAGCTCTGACGTCCTTGATGTCCACAGATTCGCAGTGACAGTAGCGGGGATACAGCGGACAAGGGCTTTGTGGTCAAATCCAGGTTCTACACCACAATGGATGTATGGCCTTAAGAGAGGTCTTTAACCTCTCCAGGCTTCAGATCCTCATTTTGTAAAATGGGAACGATAATGACAGCAACCTCATAGGTTGTTTCAAGGAACATGTACAATGCATGCAAAAGGCTTAGCATCCTATCTGGCACATGAGAAGAGCTCAACATACGATAGTTACTGACATACTGCCACGAGATCTCAGGCAGCTCTGGCCCTCTGTTTCTTTAGTTCCACTTGTCTTGGAAACCTGACTTAGGAAGGTGTTTCCTTCAAATGTGTTTTCTTGGCAGAGTAAGAATGAATGAACTAATTACAGATACTTAAAGACAGCCCATCCAGAAGTCAGCCAATCTGTCCTCTTGTCTTTTAATTCCTACCTTCTTATTCCCCAATTAGGATATAAAAGGTCCCCTTAAGATAAAAAGATCCAGGAGCTTCCTTGATAATTCATTCTATTTATAATGACTCATGGGAGAGTTTGTAAAAGGACAAGAAAGAGGGTAGTGTGGTCTCGCATAATTTCCCAGGACACTCTAGGATTCTACTCCCTAAGCATCTCACAGCTAGAAAATGCTTCTTTATGTCTAAACTTAGACTCTCCTGCTGCTATTGAAGGCTGGTTTCTAAACGAATATGGGAAACAGTGGACCACCACCGGTTTCTACACAACGAAAATCTTCTAAGCCAATATTTCCCAAAGTGTGTTCCTCAGGACACTCGCTTTCCCAGAGGATGTTAACAGAAATTGTGTGAGAACAAGGTTCCATGTTCAAATAAGGTTAGAAAACACTGTGTATTACATTTGCCTTTTCAAGATTCATAAAGCGCACTGGCATAGTAAAAGTTTAAGAAGTCCTGCAGTGAAGCAGCTTGTTCAATTTTGTTTAACCCAGAACCTTCCAAACATATTGACCATGCAACACTTTTTTCCCCCAAAACCTGCAAATGTCTTGCAGCAGTGTTCTACAGAACATACTGTGGGAAATGATACTCTAAACATATTCAAGGAAACATGTATTATAAACCCAAATCAAATGGTGGAGACATTTTGCTGAGACAGGTAGTTCATAAAATGAAGAGACTTCAGGATTGGAGGGCATTGAAGGCCATCTGGTTCCCGCTGCCCACCACGAGCTCTAGGGAAGAACACACACCTGGCTCCCTCAGGGCTCCTGTGCTCCCCCAGCCATACTGCCTGGCAGCAACCTTAACTGAAGTAACAGAAAGGGCTGGGAGCCCTGGGGTGGAACAGGCTCTCATGGAGAGCTTGATTCTCTTCTTATAAATGTCCCAGGAAAGGAAATTCTGAGGGTCCCCACTCCCAGTGGGAGTGGATTCCATCGTTGTGGCACCAAGGGAATCTGGTGGAGGACAGAGCAAACGGGCATCTGGTAAGGCTGAGTGGCAGAGCAGAGACCAAGTCCAAAACTTCAGTTACTGCAAGCTTGCATGGCTTTGTGACAGCCCTCGTATTTCTGTTACTTTGTCATGCTTGTGGCCTTTCTCTCCCAAGGCCTGTGTGTTCCTAGAGAGCAGAGATGTGTCTGCCTCACTTTTGAGCCCATGCTGCACCTAGCATAGTGCCTGATACCTAGAAGCTGTTTGGTAATTGTTGGTTGAAGACTGTTGATGAAAGACATTTCAATTCCCTGGGGTCCTCACTGTGCCCAACTCTGATCACTAATCACACAGTCTTTCCCCTCCAGAAGGTGTAAGAACATGAGTAGAATTTGTATCAACTCCTGATTGTTCTCTGGAAGTTGCATTATTGTATTTTGAAAAACAAATTTCTCACAGCTTGTTTTCTTATCACTGGGCTTTCTCATTAAAAACTGGTAAAATGTGCATGCTGCACGTGTCTGTGAGTGTGTGTGTGCGTGTGTGTGTCTGAATTCTTGTGTATACAATGATTTGCAGGGAACCAAATAACTACAGTTGAAGGTCATATCACAGCCACAGACGAATACAGGGGAGCGTTATCCCGGGATGAAGGCTGTTTTGAACAGGTGGAAGGAATGCCTCATGGGTGATGGCTTGAGAGCAGCATGGAAAGGCATCAAGGGTGGTGAGGCCAGCCAAGCCTCCCTCACTTTCTCCAGCAGGTGTGACCTTTCCAGTGTCCTGGTTTACCCATAGGCATCCACTCCCCAGTCAGCTGCAGGGACGTCTCCATGCCTCTACAGCCACCAAGCCAGGAGCAAGGGCAGGCTGTGAGTAGGGGGACAAGGTCAGTCGACTAGAGCTAAAAGCATAAGAGGTTTTAATGATTCAGATTCAGTTTCTCTGCTTGACTTTAAGGAGAAAATCAGGAAACCAAAGCACACGTTCAGACTGCATCCTTGGGTCAAGTCTATCTCCTAACCCTTCAGCGCGTGGGCCTGGGCCCGGGTGAAATGGGGAGGTAGGGGAGGTGGCATTCTGTGATGTTCTCTCTGCCCAGAGGCTGCTTCTCCCTTGCATTTCCAACCCAGTAAGCGCATTATTGTTCCTCCAGCCGCCTAAGCTAGAAACTTCAAAGGCAGCTCAAATCCCTCTTCTTTTAACTCCATATCCCATCAGTTGCCAGTTCTGTCAAATCTGTCTCCTAAATGTCTCTTGAATCTGTCCCTTCCTTTCCAGTCCCACCAGGTCGGGCCTTCATCCTTTCTCCTGTGCAACAACCTGTCAACTGAGACCACACCTCCGATCTCAGGAGACATGACCACCACATTGCCCAGCTGCCAGGTG